CGAGATCGTGACCTGGCTGAAGTTGGACGCTTAACCGACTGCGCCACCCAGGCGCCCCAAAAACAATTTTTAAAAAATTAAAAAAATTTATTAAGTAGCCTCTACACTCAACATGGGGCTCAAACTCAAAATTCCGAGATTAAGAGTCACATGCTCCACCAGCTAAGCCAGCCAGGCACCCCTTCATGAAAGGATATTTTAACAGCTGAATATATTTAGTTTTATGAAAATCTCACTCTTGTCATTATTTTTTCCATTTTACCATAAATTTTCACAGGCCAGCTTGGATTGGGGTAGAAACTTGGGAATCACTGTTGTGATTTATTCTTTTGCACCCAAAGAGGTAACTCTAAAAGAATTACTCTTGGGGCGCCTGGGTGGCGCAGTCGGTTAAGCCTCCGACTTCAGCCAGGTCACGATCTCGCGGTCCGGGAGTTCGAGCCCCGCGTCGGGCTCTGGGCTGATGGCTCAGAGCCTGGAGCCTGTTTCCGATTCTGTGTCTCCCTCTCTCTCTGCCCCTCCCCCGTTCATGCTCTGTCTCTCTCTGTCCCAAAAATAAATAAACGTTGAAAAAAAAAATTTTTTTAATAAAAGAATTACTCTTAAATTTTTTTAAATATTCTTAGTACTGAACTGATTCTCATAGTTGAGAAATTAGGTCCTAAGTACTGTCATCATTCTGGTCTATGTGAATACCATAAGTAGAGACCATTTGTTGTTTTGTGAACCTATTACAATCCTATACATTGGGTTTTAATATCAGACCAGAGACACTTAGGCGGTACTGAGTACAGAGCTGGAAAAGAAACAAACAAAACCTCAGGCTCTGGGGCCAGAGAGTCTGTGTTTGGGTCCACGCTCTCCTTTTGACTTCATGGATATGCTTTTTAACCTATCCAAACCCCATTTTCCTCATCTATAAAATGGTGATAGCAATAGTACATATATCTCCTAACTTAGTTGCAGTGATTAAATGTGTTGGTGCACTCAGTGTAGTTTCTGACTGTTGGAAAGTGTTAAACGTTGGCTATGATTGGGGCGCCTGGGTGGCTCAGTCAGTTGAGCGACCGACTTCGGCTCAGGTCATGATCTTGCAGTCTGTGAGTTCGAGCCCCACGTCAGGCTCTGTGCTGATGGCTCAGAGCCTGGAGCCTACCTCCAATTCTGTGTCTCCCTCTCTCTGCCCCTTCCCCGCTTATGCTGTATGTCTC